CTCAACATTAGAAAGAACATCCTGACAGTAAGAGCTGTTTGACAGTGGAATAGATGGCCTTGGAGAGTAGTGGAGTTTCCTTCTTTGGAGGTCTTTAAACAGAGGCTGGATGGCCACTGGTCACAGGGAGTGCTTTGAATGTGAGTTCCTGCATGGCAGAATGGGGTTGGACTGGATGGCCCTTGGGGTCTCTTCCAACTCTAGGATTCTATGATTCTTACCCAGTAACTGTAAAAATAGTCCTAATAATGATCTGAATCCCATGGGTTAGTTCCAACCAGAGCAAACTCATTGAACCAATTGTTGAATGGTGAGTCAACATATAGGTAAATGCCATCTGTTCAGTGGGTCAGCTCTATGGGAACTAATCGTAGAATTCAGACCAGCAATGACAATATTTGAAGGGATGTCATGTTGAGGATGGAGCAAGCTTGTTTTCTGCTGCTCCAGAGACTAGGACAGGTTAAATATCTCCCAAAACTACAAATCCCAGGATTCCATAGCATTGAGCCATGGAAGTTAAAGCAGTGTCAAACTGCAGTAAATCTGCAATACAGATGCAGCCTGATTTTCCTGGCACTGCACCATTCTTGTCTCTTATGGAAAAGGAAGAGATGGTGATATGATAGCCCTGTTTAAATATTTGAAGGGATGTCATATTGAGGAGGGAACAAGCTTGTTTTCTGCTGCTCCAGAGACTAGGACCCGGAACAACAGATGCAAGCTCCAGGAAAAGAGATTCCATCTAAACATTAGGACAAACTTTGTGGAAGTAAGAGCTGTTTGACAGTGAAAGACGCTTCCTCAGAGAGTGGTAGAGGTTTTTAAACAGAGGCTGGATGGCCATCTCTCAGGAGTGTTTTGATGGTGTCTTCCTGCATGGCAGAAGAGGGTTGGATTGGATGACCTCTGGGGGTCTCTTCCAGTCTTGATTTCTATGATTCTATGATTGTATTATTGTCTTTTCCCCCAACTCCAAATTAATGGCGTGCAAACTGGTTTTACACTTTGAACTCAATTTGCAGCAACCAAACTAAGCTGAAGAGAAATGGAGAAAGTGGGAGGAGGAGAGAGAAACTGGGACATTTTAAAAGCAGCTGAGAAAAGTGGGATGGCAGAGGATTAATCGGGACACTTGGAGGGTATGGCCATCTGATGGATCGGCCCCCATGAAATTTCCTTAGCGGCCGTGTTAATTTTCCTCCTTAAGAAAAGAAGCGCCATGGGTTCTTTCAAATTAGGAAGGAGCAGCTAAACATTGTTATGCTAAAAAAGAATCATAGCTCCCTGTGGCTATATAACATTCTGACAGTTTTTGTCTACCATATTTAGAAAGATGTGAGAAAGAGCTATGCCTTACCACCCACACTGCTGAATTCCTTTGGCTTGGGGTGAAAGTGATGTTAAATTCTTACCTCTAAGTTAAAAAGAAATCTATGCATATGCTCAGGAGTTGTCTTGCTCTCTCCTTCATAGAGTATAGGGGTGAGATCCTGTTTCCCAAGAGATGTTGTTGGACTGCAACTCCCAGTAGCCTTAGCCAGCATAGTCAATGGGTGAAGAATGGTGGGAGATGCTGTCCATTAATCTCTGGAGGGCTCCTCAGTTTCAATCCCTAGTACAAAGATTCCCAAACTTAGGTCTTCCAGGTAGGTACTCCATTAGTTTAGCTGATATTCAGGGATTCTGGGAGTTGAAGTCCAAAACATAGAATCATAGAATCATAGAGTTGGAAGAGACCACAAGGGCCATCCAGTCCAACCCCTTTCTGCCATGCAGGAACTCCCAATCAAAGCATCCCCGACAGATGGCCATCCAGCCTCTGCTTAAAGAGGTTTGGGGCCGGTCCAAAGGCCTTGCTGGGCCGCATCCGGCCCCCGGGCCTTAGGTTGCCTACCCCTGCTTTAAAGCATCACTCTTTGACCTCCACTTATGTTCCCGTCAACTGGAGAGACCATTGTGCATTACTCTGGGGGAAAAAATATCACTCTGTCCCTTTATGTGTCACTAACAATATGTCAGTCCATAGTGCAGATTCCTGGACATCCTATCCTATGACCTTTTTCTCCCTGCCACTGAAGGATGTCATTGGCCATGCTGGCTGGGGATGATGGGAGTTGTAGTCCAACGCTCCTGGAGCATGCCAAGTCAGGGAAGGTGGTTTTTGTGGGTTTTCGGGCTGTGTGGCCATGTTCTAGAAGAGTTTC